ACATTTGAGTTCTTAATTATGCAGTCCCATGTTCAAATATTAGTTCCCCCAGTTTTATTAACTATATATGTTTAATGAAGTTGCTTAATTTCTATAGCCCTGTTTTCTCACTTATGAAATGAAAATAACAAGAGATTTCATCTCATAGAATTATTAATTTATTGTTTTTGCATTTTGAACCAAAATTTTAAAATGTCTACTATGTGTCAGGCACTGAAAAATATCATGCAAATACATAGTGAACAAGATAAATACAGCTCTTATTTTTATGGAGCTTACAGTCTAGTAGATAGGGTTATGAAGATTAAAATATGTACCTCCTCTTGCCTTATATATTAATTCAAAACTTTATTTTAAGAAATATTAGCACTTGAAGTATGGCACACTTTACGTAGCTTAACTTCTAGTGGAGTCAGGCTAGCAAGGTGTTTGTGGGTGACACAGTACAACAATATATATAAAAAATAAGTAAATAATATAATATGGTGGAAGGTGCTAAATGCATGGATAAAGTGAAAGTCAATGGTGTGCAGTTAATGTTTAATGACTTGCTCTCAATGGTAGGGGATGATACTGCTTTGCCAATTGCTGAGGTATAAATACTCTGACAATGTGGATTTCAGTCTAATGATGGGATGTCACTAAACATCTCAATGTTAAGAAGGGTTGCACACAATTGGCTTTTGCTAACTGGTATTAAACAGCTCCAGGACACTGCTAATGAGTGTGGGTGGGGCCGGATATGATGTTAAATAGATGTTTAGTGTAAGCCTCTTTGAGATAATGAAGAGATGACAGAGTTACCTATGCAGGTATCCAGGTGAAGAATGGTTCACCCAGATGAAACAGCCAGTGCTAGAACATATTGCAGAAGAGTACTTGGTGAGTTCTAGAAAGTACAAGGCCAGTGAAGAAACACAAAAGAAAAAAAGAAGAGTTTAGAAGCAGATAAGGTTTGCATCAGTCAGGATCCCAGCAGAAATTAAATGACACACACAAACCAAGTTATATGAGGACAGTTTATTAACAAAGATTTGATGAAGGTTTATGAAAACCAACAAGCGATATCACAACATCCTGAGGCTGGCGACGGCTATTATCACCTCTAGGACTGAAGGCTCAAGAGGAGGAAGAGATTCCTGGACCTTGGTGAGGGTGGCTGAGTGGTGAGGGACATGTGACAGAGGCTTTTGGTAGAGGGACACAGCCAACCCAAGTTGACTCAACAGAGAGGGAACTGGGAGACAAGTTAGTCCAAACTCTCTCCTCTCTTGCCCTTTAAAATCCTGTGGTGCCTCCATTACCAAACCCCAAAGAGGCCAAACAACAAGGGAACCAGTTATTGTAATCCCTAAGCTTTCCAGAGCAAAGGTCTAGGTGAAGATTGGTGAAGGCTGAATCGTGGGACAAAATGAATATACTCAGCACAAGATTAAAGAAGCAACGGGGTGATATGTCATGAAGGATTTGGGGGGCCATTTTAGGACTTTGACTTTTATTCTGGTTAGAATTTGCTCACTTAATTTGTTACCAGAAAGTACCTAATCTTACTTTCAGCTGTCACAGTTGCAATTCACAGGATGGGCTGGTATTTTATTCACTCATGGGCTTGTAATCAGTACTGAGTCTGCCTCACACGGATGTTCCAAAGTCATCCTTTAGTTTGGTTTTCCTTTCTATTTTTCTTCCTTTCTTCCCAACAAATACCAAAATTAATCTTCTAAATGATCCTTATATTCAAATCAACAAGTTTCATTTTATACTATTGTAGGTTGACTACCAAATTTACATGCAGGTTGCCAGTGCCCAGTTTGTCCCAGAGTCTTGCATTCTTTGGCATGGAATATCTACAGGACAAACAAAATCTTGTCATATTAACACAGCTTGCTTCCTGTGGCATCACACTGATGTTTATTAGGTTAAAAAGAAATCCATACTAGGAACAGAATGGGAAGGACCCAATACATATAGAAAGTAGACAGTCCTGGTCTGCCACACAACTAAATCATCTATTCTAATGTTAGGCATTTAATAAATGTTTACTTAATATCATTTGCTATTATTTTTCCCAAGACGTTTCCCACAAAGCATTCTCTGTCTGAGGAGTCTGACTTATATTTAAAAGGGCTATGTGTAAAGCTACTTCTCTCTTCCTTTGGTGCTTTGACCAGGCTATAATCATATTTTATGTTAAATGAAAGGCATCTCATATCCAGAGTCAGCCACAAACTAGATTCAGGATTAAGACTCTGTTCTTTGTTCTAAAAACCTGTTTTAAAAACTTTAAATTTTGAGCTTTGCAGGATTAGTTATAGATGTACAAAGTGCAGTAAAGACGGAGTCAGAAAACTAAGGTTGGAGTCGCAAAACTGCTGTTTACTTGGGAAATGCCACTTACCTTCTCTAAGTCTCAGTTTCCCTGTTTGTAAAAGTGAAAAGTATTGCTGTATGATTTAAATGAAGAAATGCATGTACCATGCTTTCTTAAAATGTTTTCTTATAAAAATGTGAGGAATTATCATTTTTAACGTGATGATTCTGCAAAGAGAATCATGTTGGTTCTAGATAAATTAAAGAGTCAGGGAAATTACTATGCTTTAAAAAATAATTAACCTAGAGTGTTATTCTGCACACCAAAAAATAAATATTAATAATGGAACAATTTATGATAAAAAAGCAAAAAGTGAAATCATTCCCAGTCCTGGGCATTCTGAACATAATATGGATTAATATTAATAAAGCTACTTTTATTGAGTGTTTATTATGAACCATGCTATATGCTATGGACTTTGTACACACAGAGGTGACTGTCTCTATTGCTATCAACCCTAGACTCAGCACCTGGCACAGTGCTTATCCTATAATAGATGTTTAACAAATATTTGTGAATTAATTTTATCGTCAAATATTTACAATAATTATATGAAGTAGTTATTATTTCCATTTGATAGATAATCTTCTTAAGTGGTAGATTGAAGAATAGAATCTTGTTATAGGTTTTAAAGCTCATGGTTTATTTTGCAACATTCAGAAAGCTGCTTCCTTCAATATTTATTTTAAAATATGACTCTTCTAATGATTAGAAACCTAATGATGGAAATCAGGAATTTCAGCTTGGCTACCTTCTCCTCTTGAATTAGAGTGGTAAAAATTCTTTTAACATAAAAATGTTTTCTACAGATTGTCTGTAGCCGATTGGAGGAGTACAACACCCGTCAGGCTTTATGCGATGGAACTCCTGAGGGACCGTTACTGCGCAATCCCGGAAACCATGACAAAAACAGAACCCCAAGACTCCCCTCCTCAGCTGATGTGGAATTTTGCCTGAGTTTGACCCAGTATGAATCTGGCTCCATGGATAAATCTGCCAATTTCAGCTTTAGAAATACACTGGAAGGTAATCCTTTTATTTTCACTCATTTTTAATGTTTTTTTGTTTGTTTTCTTTTTTCTTTTCTTTCTTTTTTTTTTTTTTGTTTTGTTTTCTGAATTCATGTTTACAATCTCTTATCCAAAATTGTGGGCCCAGAGATGTTTTAGAATTCAGAATTTTCTAAGTTGAATAAGGATATGTGTTGTGTAAACTTTGTAAACTTATATTGACAAAAAACCTAGCAGATTCTGGGCAGCATATCATAATCCACCACATTAATAATGCTTCAGCAAAATGTATGAAGATAGATACTCACCATGGGAATAGAGACAATCGACAGCCTAATGTGTATTGAAGTCAGGGTTTTCACTAAAAGAATATTGGTGAAAAACAAAATAATTCGATTTTCAGAGCTCTTTGTATTGTGGAATTATAGATATAGGACTATGGACCTATAGTATATTATTCAGTGTTGGTTTTTCTCTAGTTTGGAATGTGCTAGACAGTGGGCTCTTTGAGGCAAGTCCATTCTCTGAACTCTAATAAGGACACACCCATGTATCAGGTCAGGGCCTCAGCTCCTTATCCCTCAAGATTTCTGTGCTTCTTCAGAGATTCCTTCTCACAGTCTTTTCTAACTCCTAGTTACTTCTACAAATTTCTTGATCTAGCTTGCATCTTTCCTTCATCATCTGTTCATTCTTCTCTGCTCAGAGCTGACCCTGTCATGAAACCTATCTGATTTGCCTCAATTTTTATTAGGAAAACAAACCCACAAACAAAACAAAACAAAACAGAAAACATTCACTCAAGTCACTAACTTGTGGCAAGGAGGACAACTCAAAATTTAACAGTAGACATCCCACCTCCTAAAAGTCCTTTGGCACCGTAGCATGTAGACAATCCTTCCTATCTTTTATAATCTCTTTCTCTTTAACTTTTTTTATTTTTGTTGTTTTACACCATAACGTCTGTAGATCTACTGTGCAGAGTAGTTTTACTGTCTGATTCATTTCTGTTTCATTCCAAACCATTCATTCTTGCATAAAATGCTTCTGGCCTTACACCCGGAAGCAATTTAAGCAAGGAGAGTCCCATCCTAAAGAGGAATTCTGGTGGTAGCTGTTAAAATAGAAATTGTGTTTATCTTCCTACAGTAACATTAATGATTAATGTTTTTAAGTGACCACTATATGCAAGACATTGTAAAACACTTTGTATGGCATTATGACACTTAATTCTTACAACCTTCCTCTGAAGAAGATTGCATTATTATGTCCACTTGAAGAAAAGAAACAAGATCAGGCATATTAAGTAATCTGACTATCATCAGTCATTGACTAAGTGATGGAGCTAAATCTGCACGTATATTTGTCAAGTCCAAGGTCCAAATTCTTTCTGTTGCATTCTGATGATCCAAAGTGGATTAAGAGTTTCTTGAAAGTGGACAATATAAATTCCGTCTTTTAGTGCACTGTAAGAAGGTGTTGCATAGTGTCAGGGAGTCTCAGAGCCTATACACAGAGACTGAGATACACAGTTTGACAGACGTTAGAGGAATTGGGTGTCCCACTAGACTCTGCAGGGATTAACAGCGGTATTCCAAATGATGACATTAATGATATTGCAAAACAGGGCTTCATCCATAAGGGAGCTAGAGTACTTTGCAAGTTTTTCAGGCACATTTTCAGCCATTATTGACAAAGCATGTACTTTATTATTAAGGAACATGGCTGGTCAAAGAAATAAGACAGAGTAATCTCACCCCTCTGGAACCTCAGTCAAAGAAGAAAATGACTTAAGCAGTGTGAACTCAACCAGTGGTTTTCAAATGAAGTTCTAACACACAGATGAGTAGGGAACATCAGATTTATAGCAAATAATTTCCTACTGCTAAAAAATTATGTTTGTGAATTATTATTTTTTAATAATAATCTAAAAGTCCTTTGGCACCGTAGCATGTAGACAATCCTTCCTATCTTTTATAATCTCTTTCTCTTTAACTTTTTTTATTTTTGTTGTTTTACACCATAACGTCTGTAGATCTACTGTGCAGAGTAGTTTTACTGTCTGNTTTTTGTTGTTTTACACCATAACGTCTGTAGATCTACTGTGCAGAGTAGTTTTACTGTCTGATTCATTTCTGTTTCATTCCAAACCATTCATTCTTGCATAAAATGCTTCTGGCCTTACACCCGGAAGCAATTTAAGCAAGGAGAGTCCCATCCTAAAGAGGAATTCTGGTGGTAGCTGTTAAAATAGAAATTGTGTTTATCTTCCTACAGTAACATTAATGATTAATGTTTTTAAGTGACCACTATATGCAAGACATTGTAAAACACTTTGTATGGCATTATGACACTTAATTCTTACAACCTTCCTCTGAAGAAGATTGCATTATTATGTCCACTTGAAGAAAAGAAACAAGATCAGGCATATTAAGTAATCTGACTATCATCAGTCATTGACTAAGTGATGGAGCTAAATCTGCACGTATATTTGTCAAGTCCAAGGTCCAAATTCTTTCTGTTGCATTCTGATGATCCAAAGTGGATTAAGAGTTTCTTGAAAGTGGACAATATAAATTCCGTCTTTTAGTGCACTGTAAGAAGGTGTTGCATAGTGTCAGGGAGTCTCAGAGCCTATACACAGAGACTGAGATACACAGTTTGACAGACGTTAGAGGAATTGGGTGTCCCACTAGACTCTGCAGGGATTAACAGCGGTACTCCAAATGATGACATTAATGATATTGCAAAACAGGGCTTCATCCATAAGGGAGCTAGAGTACTTTGCAAGTTTTTCAGGCACATTTTCAGCCATTATTGACAAAGCATGTACTTTATTATTAAGGAACATGGCTGGTCAAAGAAATAAGACAGAGTAATCTCACCCCTCTGGAACCTCAGTCAAAGAAGAAAATGACTTAAGCAGTGTGAACTCAACCAGTGGTTTTCAAATGAAGTTCTAACACACAGATGAGTAGGGAACATCAGATTTATAGCAAATAATTTCCTACTGCTAAAAAATTATGTTTGTGAATTATTATTTTTTAATAATAATTTATTCTCATTCACACACACACTCTAGTATGCTTTCTTGAGGAACAGTGAAAAGGCATAAAATAGCATATTATCTGGCACATGACAGGTGTTCAATAAGTATTTGATAACTGAATATGTAAATAATAGCTTGGATCCTTCAAATTGCATCTACCCCACCTCTTAGCATAACCATGACTATTGTATGAAGCCCATGTCATGGTAGGAAAATGTTAGAAACCATTGATCTAAGCTACTAACAAGCAGTTTTCCTGACCAGGGATATTTTTTTTTAAATTGTTTCTTTAAACTTTTATTCAGATATAATTTTAAGATTACAGAAAAGTTGCAAAACTAAAAGATGTGCAAAAGATATATATATATATNAATTTTAAGATTACAGAAAAGTTGCAAAACTAAAAGATGTGCAAAAGATATATATATATATATCTCCATTACTAAGATTCATTTATTGCTTATGTTTTTTCCTATTTGCTTCTCTTTCTGTCTCCCCATCTGAGCCATTTGAGGGTAGGTTGCATAGGTCATAACTCTTTACTCCAGAATATTTCAGTGTAAATTTCCTAAGAATAGGAATATTCTCTTATGTAACCACAGAACAGTTTTCAACTTCAGTAAATTCTGCATTGATAAATGCTTTTATCTAATCTGCTATTTATATTTCAGTTTTTTATTAGACCTAATAATATCATTTATGGTATTTTTCCTATTCAGAATAGGATCCAGTCTAGGGTGAAGTAGCATTTAGTTATCATGGATCTTTGGTCTTCTACAGTCTGAAATATTTCCATATCCTTATTTGTGTGTCTTTATGAGATTGACATTTTTGTTTTATTTTATTATTTTTATTTGTACATATTTATAAGGTACAGAGTTAACTATCAGCATTCGTGTACAGTTGACTATCAGTATATATGTACAGTATTTGTGTACAGTAAGTGAAGACCAAATCAGTATTATTAGTATGTTCATCATTACGAATCCTAATTACCTTTTGTGTCCCTTACCCAATTACTTTGTCCCCCTTTCCCATGTCTAGTAACTACAGGTCTATTCTCTCCTTCTGAAAGTTCAATGTTTTATTATGGTCTTTCTTTCTTTGTTTCTTAGCTCCCACTTATGGGTGAGGACATGCAGCATTTCTCTTTCTGTGCCTGGCTTATTTCACTTAACATAATTTTCTCCAAGCTCATCCATGTTGCTGTGAGTGGCAGAACTTCATTATCTTTTTTATGGATGAATAGTATTCCATGATGTATATATACTACATTTCCCTTATTCAGTCATCAGTAGATGGACATTTATGTTTGTTCTGCATTTTGGCTATTGTAAATAGAGCTGCAATGATCATGGGGGTGCAGATATCACTTCTACACGATGATTTCCATTCCTTTGGGTATATGCCAAAAAGTAGGACAGATAGATCATATGGTAGTTCTCTCTGTGGTTGTTTGAGAAACTTCCATGCTTTTTTCCATAATGGCCATACTCATTTACAGTCCCACCAACAGTATAGAAGAGTTCCCTTTTCTCCACGTCCTTTACAGCATTTTTCTCAGTCTTTTTGATTATAGCCAGTCTAGCTGGGGTGCGATGATATCCAAATGTGGTTTTGATTTGCATTTCCCTGACATTTGGGGAGAATATCGTCCCTCCACCCATTTTTTAATAGCATGTTTCTCATTTTGAGTTTGTGTAATATTTCCTCGTGACTGGATTCAGGTATGCATTCTTAGCCAGACTTCTACACATGTCATTTTATGTCTTTCTAAGAGGGTAACACGTATGGAGACGCATAATGACATCTGTCTCACATTGGTGATGATAATTTTGATCACCTAATCTTGATGTGATTCAGTTTCCCAATGTGTAATTGCGTTTTCTCCCTTTCCAAATAATAAATTGCCAACATGGAGACATTTTTAAGACTGCCCCTTTCCAACTAATAAATTGCCAACATGG